TTAATCTTTTTATAGGTATGAACGATGATCCTCATTTTTCGTTTCATTGATTTTTGTACCTGACTTTCCCATTCCAGTGCTAATGAACTGATATTGGATGAGCCTGTTTCACAATGATCTCTTCATTGAACTCTGTCGGATTCGTACTTCCAATCCGCATTTCTACGAAATCGTTGGCGCACATATCTTCCTCCAAAGAGTCTTGCAGTTGACGGCACCATCGGACCCAAAAATCTTCTGCCCGCCAAACACAGCAGCACCGCACCGCAGGCATTTAAATGCAGCATTTATATTTATACATGGGAAAAATTGTTAAAAATGTGAAGAAGATCCAAGTCCAAAAGACCGACAGTCTGAATACGTGAAGTTTGTCCTCTCTTTTTAAAGGGTTTTTGACGAATGGGCGTCATAGCGATTGGTGTATCGGTGTGAGTATGTCTTCTATCTCCAGAGGGTCGATTGTTGAATCGTTATCGAATGTTACTAATCGATAAATCCCTATCTTGGCGATACATTTTATCTATTAAGGTCATTCGATATCGATTTAACAATCAAGCCGATGATCCATGGAGTTTCTCCATCAGTGATTTTAGCCCTATATGTGTTATCATCGATATGATTGAAGAATGATTAAAGATTAATGTTATACCAATACCGTAAACGTCAATATTTACAAGTACCTATTGGTATAGCCATATACAGCACGCTCCTGGTTTTCCTTCTGTACAATGACATACATTAACACTCCATATTTTTAGATCATTTTGGGAGCCTGGAGGATTGGTAAACCCTCATGCATCGGAGGTTCATCGATTAATCGATGTGTCTAGCTTTGGTTTATGATGATCGCATTTTTCCTTTAGGTCTATTTTGCTGAAAAAGCAAAAAATAAAAATATAAAAAAACGACCCGAGTAAGAGGAGGAAAAAAAACTACCGAGACAAACCAACTCATAATAGAAAAAAAAAATAATAATAATAATGAAAATAAATTTAACAATATCAGCGCTTGATCTTAATTGAAAATGACCAAAGCTAATCGTATATATTTTGTGTTTGCAAACCAATATTTTATCGTACAGTGGGGTCAAAGATACTTCAGTTGTTTCGATCGAACATGATGACTGATTGGAACTTCTAATTAAATCTCTATCTACAGAGAGGATATTATCATTAAAAAGGCATTGTTCTAGTGATTTCCATTATTTATTTTTAAAGAGCATAGAAATTAGTGGCTCATAATTTGTGTTGAATTTCCTCGGACCTGAGTATCAAGTAGGGCTCGTGTCAGTCCGGGAGGGTTTCTTCTCAACATCCGTGATAGAGGTTACGTCAGTTGTGGAAATTGCACGTTTCAAAAATCGAGCAGAAAGGAGGCCACATTGGATGAGTTTGGAAACGAATGCTGGTGTAATTGGTTCACCAACTTTCTCAACTCAATTCCACTAAATTCTCAATATTCTCTGGAACAAAGTAACTTGGAAAATAGGATAACATAAGATTTACTGTCTTTCAACGCGAAAAGCAGCACACAGAAAGCAAAGCAGAACTTGTGTACTTTCAAAGCGTGGGTGGGATATACTATGGAAAAATTATGATACATCTCTGAGTGAAGGCGATTCTCAGATTTTGTTGTCGAATTTCTCCATTATGCAGTCAAATTACAATAAGCCAATGCTTATAATTCGCAGTTTCAGTAAAATTTGCGACATCGCGAAAAACCGCCTGTAGTGAATTTTTGATACTTGCCAAAAAATTTGACCCGGTTTCCTCTGTTAAATTTCGCGATAAAATCGGAATTTCACTACGCTACATTCCGCGACGTCGGTAATCGCAGAAAATCGTCCATATTTTGTCTGAGTATTGCATTTTTTTTTTGCAGAAATATCACAATGTAATCGCGATAGTGCCGCGACATATCGCGACTTTGTAGCGATTTTGTTACGTTGGAAAAAGCTACTTGGGCGGGATAATTACAAAATTTGAAGGTTGCTTTACCTTAAAGGGGCGTAATTGTGGAGTTGTATCATCCACGACGACCTCTTCGTTTAGTTCCAGGAATCCATGTGTCTGAAAAAGCAATGAATAAAAAAGTAAAATAAAATTTGTTGAGTTTTTCGTGTTTGATCGATCTGATGACTGCACTTCTATTTTAATGTATATGCGTGAATGTTATTTCAAATCATGTTCACCTGAGATATAAGATGTATATGGAATAATACAATTTTAGAAGAAATCGCTGGAAAAAACGGCAAAAGTCACGCATATCGAAGTTCAAGAAATAAACTGAATCAGCTTGAGCTGACATCGTGACTATCGCAAAAAAAGGTGTTTTTTTATAAAATCTATGGACAGTCTTTGGTACTTGGAAATGAGGCTTGGATCCAGCAGATCAATGAATATTTCCGTAAACTGTTCCGTTAGATTTTGAAAAAGACCTACTTTTTCAAGAGCATGATTCAGAATTTGAGGAATTTTACTTACTTGGCGAGTTTTCACAAACTATGAAAAACCAAAACTGTGAGCGTGGTTATGTAAAAACTTATTGGCGAGTCTTTGATTTGTCCGGATAGTTCTTCCCAATCGATGGAATCCGATATTTTTTCTATACTTCTTGCCAGCCAGCCAGGTTTGGAAAATTTATTTTCCTCCTCTAGCATGGGGACAACTAGGCGATAATTTTCGATAGTTTGTCACTAAATAAAATTACCAATACGTTATAACGTGTACTACATTCAGAATTTAGTTTTAATTCTTCACAAATGGGAGTCTTCCATCCTAAAAGTATTTGAAACTCACTACTGGATGGATGTCCTTTTTATTTAATGCCCATTTTGCAAATATATTCAAACTGCGGTCTACAGCTAAAGTTAATTGAAGTATACTACTTTTTGGAATTGGAAACAATTTGTAGCTGGTTCACTATAATATAGACCTAAACAATTGTATCCGCGATAATCGGTCCATAGATTAAGCGGCTCAGGAATTAACTGAGCTTCTCGAGGATATAATTTTTCAAGCAAATCATCGAGGTCTTTGAGGATTGTTGATTTTCCTGCTAAAATGCCTTCTTCTATAGAAATTTTGTATTGTGAAGAATTCATTTTAAAGGTACCTTTGATTGGTGGTTCTGCTGAAACACTGTCAAAAACTGGTGCACTTCACTGATTCGTGTGAGAGTTCTACTCATGCTCTAGTTTAATTTAAAAGAATTTTCACAGCTGTGGTGATATCGTTATCTTTTTAATAATGTTCATTGTTCATAATTTTCATGATTACACAAGAGCAGTGCTCGGTCACTCTTGCACGCACCTCGCATTTTACCGCGAGTTCTCATTTCGCTGATTATTTTGTGTGATGATCAGCTAGTTTAACTTAGGTGGAGTGCCCTTAAGTTATCCAGCATCTTTCAACCTTCATTTCTTGCAAGCTCTGCGTTACTCCTATCCACCGACATTCCCGGTGATGCATCACGTTAAGCACGAAAAGGGTACCTTGTCGTAGAACCGTTAAGTGGCAATCTATTTTAGTTGGTCCCCAACGACCTTGTTGGAATTCCCAACGACTACGTCTTCAAGAAGTGTGACAAGTTGCATAATGTGATCATGGACAACATCGAAATATAATTTAAATAGATTAGTAGGTAGAAAATGCGGGAACCAAGATGACCTTTATTCAGTGCACTTTCCGCGAATATATTAATGCTTCTGTCTAAACTTCTTTCTGTGATAACTGAGTGGGTTGTTTGATCTTTTTGAGACTTCGCTAAAGTCTGCAGCACTACGTTCTGAAACTAGAAACAATACTCAATATAGCCATAACATATTGTATCCGCGATAATTGGTCCATAGATTAAGTGGCTCAGGAATTAACTGAGCTTCTCGAGGATAGAATTTTTCAAGCAAATCATCGAGGTCTTTGAGGATTGTTGATTTTCCTGCTAAAATGCCTCCTTCAATAGAAATTTTGTATTGTGAAGAATTCATTTTAAAGACACCTTGATTGGTGCTGTCGATGAATCACTGTCGAAAAAAATAGATGCACTTCACTAGTTCGTTTGAAAGTTCCACTTATTGTCGAATTCAAGTTATATGAACTTTATTTTTTACTAGTAATGTTCATGATCAGCATAATTTCTGTCGACTTTTCATTAGTCTGGGTATTGTGCAAACTCCCCGTTTCGCCCGACCTTTTGCCCCCCTCCTGTTTGACCTAGTCATGCTCCAAAGGCAGGGTTGAAAAAAAAAAACCTGCCGAATTTCCATCGCAAACTGTCTGGTGCGCAGGCGGGAGCATCGATGTCTCCTTTCTGCAGACTCTCCGCACTTCGCATGCGCAGAAGGATTTTCTGTCAACCCCAGCAGCCTTTCGGGCCAAGACGGAATCTTTTAAACTCAAACCAACTTAAACGCCCTTTTTTTTAAAAAAAAAAAAAAAATGGGCGCATTGTTACTGACTGAGGTTAGAAGAGATGATCATCAGAATAACTTCAACTTTTTTTCTACAAATAGCGTCTCCGGTGGCTCCTATATTTTCAAAATGAATGTCATAAAAATGGAGGTTTACTTGCCACAAGAGGTCGTAGGGGGAACTGCTTCTCTTCATTTAATGGCTCTTCAACTGAAAGCCTTAGAAAACCATCCACTGTCTGCAGAGAAACGCGGAAACAAGTCGTATAGTAAATCTTCATCGTTTAACCCTTAGATGACCAACCGTTTTTACCTACACGAATGGCTAACCCGGGCCTGCGAGACCCGTATTGAGAATATAAGTTTAGTTTTTGCTAATAAAGTAGCGGAGTGGCAACTGTGCCAGAGCATAAAGCTCGGAGGTAAAAAATAAAGTCAAAGTAAAGAATACTTCTTCTTCTTCTTCTTCTACTAACGACTAGGGCATGGCCCTGTTTGTCAAGCCTTCGAGTGCCAAGCACAAAATATTAAAAAATTAATAATTATCTGTAAAGATTCGTCAAGTCAATAAAACAAATAGCAACAGGAACATTCAATCATCTTCAGGAGAAGAGAGCCAGCTTTGTGCCCATCTCTTAGGCGGTCGTCCAGGCAGTCTTTTCCCTATGGGTTGTCCAGTCATACAAACTTTTGCCAGTCTCTCTTCATCCATTCTGTCAACGTGCTCCGACCACATCTTTCTCCTCATCCTAGTCCACTTGGCTACATCTTGCACATTACAAGCATCTCTGATGGACTCGTTGGTCTGATGATCCCAAAGTGTAAAGCCCGCTATTTTTCTTAAGACCTTCATTTCAACGGTGCGGAATTGTTGTTTGGTGCGCTTTGTCTCAGCCCTGGTCTCTGCGGCAAATGTTAACACTGGTCTAACGATTGTTTTATAGACTCTGACTTTACTTTCTCGGGCCATGTATTTGTTGCGCCACACCATCTCGTTGAGGCATCCGGCAACTCTCGCCGCCTTGAGTGCCTGGTCTCGCACTTCGGTTCCTAAGTCCTTTGCACTTGTCAGCAATGCTCCAAGATATTTAAACTCCATCACTTGTTCGATCATTTTACCATCTACTTCCAACTCGCATCGTATAGGGTTTCTACTGACTACCATACTTTTTGTCTTAGCGGCGGATACTTTCATATTGTACTTCTTGGCTGTCATATTAAATGTATGCAAGATTCTTTGCAGTTCATCTTCCGAATCTGCTATGAGCACAGCATCGTCAGCATAACAAATGATATTAATATTTCTGTTCCTAAGCGTATATCCTCGCCTTGGTCGCACGGCGCGAATTAGTTTGTCCATCACTAAGTTGAAGAGAAATGCGCTAAGCGAATCACCCTGTCTCACTCCCTTATTTATGACGATGGCATCCGAGAGACCTTCAGCGGTAATAATTTGGGTCCTCGTGTTAGTATTTAAATCTTTAACTAACTCTATCAAGCATCTGGGAACATTTCTCTCATTTAATATCTGCAGCACATCCTGTTTTCGTACGCGATCAAATGCTTTTTCAAGGTCTACAAAGCATAGGAAGAGTGGCTTATTAAATTCGATAGCCTTCTCCGATAGTTGACGAATCGTAAATATGGCATCAGTAGTTCCTCTATTCCTCCGGAAGCCTTGCTGCTCTTCAGCCGCGTCTACAATTTCCTCTAAGATGTTCTTAATTACAGTAGTGAAAAGCTTCAAACAGGTATTGAGCAGCGTAATGCCGCGGTAGTTCTCTGGTAGAAGCTTATTTCCTTTCTTGAAGATTGGGATCGTGTGGCTATCCTTCCATTCGTCTGGAACTTTCTTTTCCTGTAAGATTTTAGAGAACAAATGATGGATGTGCTTGGCCAAAGTGCCACCGCCATATTTCAAAAATTCATTGCCTATACCATCTGGTCCAGGTGACTTCCTTAATTTGAGCCGATGGATAGCTCTTGTTACCATGTCAAAAGTTATGTTCACACTATCTTCATTTCTGAATTCTAAATTTCCATTGGAGTCTGTATTGCTTTCATCATACAGTTCAGAGAAATATTTAAACCATTGCTCCTTATCTACATGCTGGACACGCTTATATTCACAAATTTCTTTTCGCTGGTTTCGGAATGCACCCCACATTTTCCTCTGAGCTCCATAAAAGTCACGCTCCATGCCTTTCGTATATCCTTCCCAGTAATTCTCTTTGATTTTCGTTATTTTTTCATTGGTCGCGTTGCGGATTCTTGCATATATCTCGTGTTCTTGAGGGGTTGGATTGGATTCGTATTTGAGGAAAGCTTCTTTCTTTATCTTCGCCGCTTCCTTGACCTCGTCGCAAAACCACGGTGTTCGGTTATTCATGCGATTCTTGTTCACTTTCCGCCAACCAACGGCTTCTTCCGCTGCTTCTAGCACTTTTGACTTGATATGTTGCCATAGTTCATCAGCTGTCGAAGAATCACTGGGTGGACTCTCCAGTTTTCCGCGTAATCTCGATCGGTAAAGTCCTCTTATAGAGAGGTCTGACAGCTTCTCAGCACACAATTTCTGCACTATTACTGGACGCCTCTTAACTGGATTCAGACTCAATCGCAGTTCGCATAAGACGAGTCCGTGATCTGTGCCGGCATTTGCAGATGATAAAGTTCGAACATCCAGTACTTGCTGCGGATGCAGCTGCCGATTGCTGATAACATAGTCAATCATGGACGTCTGACCTCTACTATTGGTGTAGGTGATCTTATGTTGTCTAGGATGATCAAAGAACGTATTGTTTATTCTTAATTCGTTAACGGAGCAAAATTCTACTAATTCTCTACCGCTGTCATTCAGAGTAGGCTCGTTAAATCTGTTCTTCACTCCAGGCACCACGCTGTCTCCAATCCGAGCATTCCAGTCACCTAACATGATTAATTTCTCGCGCACCGGTATAGTATCTATGACTTTTTGTAAATCGCGGTAGAAATCGTCTCGTTCCTGCTTCGCTCTTCCTGTGTCCGGTGCATAAACAGATATCAAGTTCAGCTTCTCACAGCCTAGATTAAGCTCTACAAGGAGCATCCTTTCGCTTATGTATTTGATATCAGTGATGTTGTCAACGAGATTTTTATGAATTCATATTCCAACACCGGCATATGCTCTTTCGTTCTTATTTGCGCCTTTATACAGAAGCAGGTAATTTCCGCGCATCACAGTGCCAGCGCCTTTTCTTTTTGTTTCGCTCAGAGCACAGACATCGATTTTTCTTTCTTCTATTTCCGAGACGATTTCTTGGTCCTTCTTATTCCATGATTTCACGTTCCATGTAGCGATTCTCAATCCTTGAGCCATTTTAATCCGTTTATCCGTTTTCCGTAAATCTTTGGGTCGTAAATCCGTTGAAGTCTGGTACCGAGGCTTTTTTTTGCTTCTTTGAGCAGATTGTGTGTTTTTACCGGCGGCAGGTTGCTAGCCTCACCGCCGAACCCTCCTCCTTAGCCCGGGCTTGGGACCGGCAGCACTCCTTATAGAAGACAGTACAGGCGGAGTTTCCGAACGGGACGAGCGTGACGTTCATGTACGCGCCGAGGTCAGTCATGTAAGTTGGGTACAGCTGGTTCTTGATGAAGTCCATGCTGCCTGGGCACAAGCTCTCATAGTAGACGGTCACTCCGATTTTCTGCTGGTTGGTGGCTGCGGAGGCAAATGTAAGAACTAAACCCAGGAGGAGGGAAGGTACAGCTGCGGCGTGCATCTTTAGGTAGAGTTTTGAGATCCTTGAGGAAAATCCACTTGAGAAAACGGGAAGATTTGGCGACGGGAAATTCACTCGAGTTGTCGTCGGCGAGCTGAGGACGGAGGCAGCAGGTACGATGCACGCGAGCACCGGGTGAACTAACTAAAGAATACAGTGACATTTATTAAACACGAAGTAGAAAATACAACTAGCGCACTACTTGGTAGGGACACATAATAATGGTAGAGAAAACCGGGCCTAACGGGGATCTCCAACGAGGGACGACGATTGAATTAGGCAGGCACTGGTGATCGAGTTTTTTTATTATTTAAGTAAATGTTCTTTCATCTAACTCTTATTTCCTTTTTATATACTTTTTTAAAAAGGGAAAATCGAACTCTGCATGCTATGAGGATAAGCAGGGAAGTAGATTCTTCTCATACTCAGATTCAAAAACTGTTGTAATCGCTTTGATAGCACAGAGGATCGGTAAAACCTCCTGCATTGGACATTCATCGAGGTTCAATGTGTCCAGCTTTGCTTCATGCCGGTTGAATTTTTTGCACATACGTCCATTTTGCTGAACAATAAAAAACAACAAAAACAAAATTTAAAGAAATAACTCGACTGAGAAAAGATAAAAACTAACGTATTACCAGCTCATAATATAAGTATAAAAATAACAAAGGAAAAAAAAATATAAACGTCATTAGCATTTGACCCTAATTTAAAATGATGAAAGCTAATATATCGATTCTGTTTTCACAGACCATTTTTTTAGTGTGCCGTGGTGTCAAACATACTTTACTTACGAGACACTGTCAGGAGGCTACTAATTATTATTAATTTTACTTGGCCAATTAGTAAGGATGTTTTCAAGCCAGCGCCTCTTCAAGCCTTCTTGAGGCTTAGTGGAAGCATTCTGTGCTTAACGATTGAGAAAGAAGGTACATACTCAAAAGCGTCCTGATTCTCGCACTGGGCAAATGATCTCCTCCTCTAAATCCACAGAGTTGGATTGCCTCGGCCGTTAAGAAGAGGTGGGCTCACGGAGCGTTGCGAGGGTTGCCCTATGGAATAGACAGGGACTCTATGGCTAACTCCTTTAAAAATAAAATAAAAAATGGCTACTTTTGACATCTTATACCTTCTTAACGTACCTTACCTTACCCTACCTTACACTGTTAAAACTGGCTAAATATTGTGTTAGGAGTGTACTTTTCCTGATACACCACTCGCTGTTTATGTCCGATGTTAACAACTGCGTTATTATTTGGTCTAATGGCCAAATTCATTCATATAAAAAGTACCTATTATTTATTCAGAGAAAGGCCCTAAGAATATATTAAAACTGCCACCTACAGATTTCTTCATTTAACGCTTTTTCAATCTGAAAATCATACCTGTTCCTCGCCATGTAATGTGTTTGCGCATTTTTCGTACGCTCAGGAAACCTCATTAGCACCTGTTGTACTTAACTCAAACAAGATCAGTACTAGATTTCAAGCCATCACATGTGCATCCAAAAGCAACCCAGCCAACCCACCCCTAAATCATGGCAAGATTCTGGATGATACGTTCTCTGTTAACATAAAAAAAACAGTCTATCGAACTGAATTTCGAAACAGCGCTGGAAAATGTTTTAGTAGATCAATGTTTCTACTCCGAGGCAGAATTTTAGCCTTAGTATTTATTATCGTATTTGTTTTTGGTTTATTTGTTTGTTTGTTTTTTTCAGTATCCTACTTAATTTTAATAGCTTTGTGATTGCCGTTCATTTGCACAGACAAATAAAAACATATTTATTTAAGCACTCAGTCGATTGGGAGCGCTTTTTCATTTCACCCCGCCAACATTTTGAGTTCTAGAATACTTGTTGCAGCGATTGAACGGCGCTGCAACAATCACCTCCAATATGTACGGTGGGAGATTTTCTCAATTTTTTTAATGTTTACTTGATAATATCTCTGGTGATGAAACTTAATGTAAATAAGAGGACGTAACGAGTAGTATACATTAAAATATATGACACGCGGGCTAACTGCTGACAGTCCAAAAAGATGTCTTGCATATCCTTGGATCATTATTATTCGCTCAAAAAACACTTTCTCATAATACATAAGGTTGAATGCATTGTTTCAGAAAATTTGTAAGGAAACACCCGAAGTCCAAATCTCCTTCCAAGCGAGTTCAAAAATAGTGATACTGACTCTACTAAGTAGTAGTTTATAGGTAATGCCAATAGAGTTGTAAAAATTGTGACTGAATACGTTGATAGAATTTCTGTAATTTTCACTGAAAAAAAAAAGAATCTTAAAGCCGCCAAGAAGTATTTCTTCTTAAATCAAGAATTTTTCTGGTCAATATAAGCTACTTTTTTGCTTAACCCAAGCATTATTTTTCTTTTATCAAGAAAAAGTCAGCTTAAAGCAAGATAAAAAAACTTCTTGGCAGCAAATTAAAAAATCATCATGCTTGATCCAAGCTACTTTTTCTTCAGGGTTCATCAGGAAGATGGATTAAGTATAAAAAATTGCACGTAAGTTAATATATGATATCATACGACCTTAAACTCGAAAATTGAACCGGGCAAAATTACCGGAAGTGTACTTTTTTTACGATGTATATTTCGCAGTTTCCTGGACGAAGCAACGTAACTCCATTCCAAGGTTGCCAAATTGACTTAAAAAATTCACTTTTATTTCAACAAACATCAGTGGAAAATGAGAGGAGATGGCGATTTGACTACCTTAGTACATTACTCTCATCATTTTCCCGCCATTCCGGCGCGTTTGAAATTCCCTCGAGTCTTGGATTTTTTAAAAGCGAACTCGTCCGGGATTTTGGCTAGAAAACCACGCAATAATTCACCTTGTAATCTACTCACCTTGTATTCTGAGATGATTAACTAAAAAACACAAGGTTTTGTGACGCACTGATTTGTTACCATAGCCTCAGATGGGAAAGTATCGATATCCGAGCATTCATGCCTCGCCATTGCACCGTCCCATGGTGGATCGAGTCAATTCGAAAGGTCCGGCATGGAATTTTTGGCTAAAACTGCAAATTTTGATGTTCATTTCGTCACACTGAAAAAAAAAAGTTCGGTGAATCCGAACTAGTTAGGATGATATGGAACCAAGATTTTATTCGGCACACACGACCGAATTATTCGGTCTGCTCAGCCGAACTGTTCGGTCCACTGAACCGAACTGCAAGAATTTATTATGGTTCGGTCGCACAAACCGAATAATTCGGTTGTGTGTATACCGAACAAAACCTGGTTCCATATGATCCTAACTAGTTCGGATTTACCGAAATCTTTTTTTCAGTGCACATTTTAAAAATTAAAGAGTGCTTCTAGAAGAAAATTTCACGAGGAAACCGGTGGGACTACTTTTAGAACCTCAAAGTTTCGTTTAATTGGAGTTATAAGCGTTTAAAATTTCCAAATTTCGTCTGGCCTCTTGTATTGACTCGATCCACTGTGCGTCCTATGAAAATTGCTCAAAATCGTTTCACTAGCTGGCGACGACAGCCCATTCCCGGGCTGCCAAACTGGGTGAACGAGAAATAAATTTTCTCATCAAATGAGACGGAGAGGCCGATTTTGATTCAAAGCTCGGCAACATTGTTCGGTGCCCTGAGGACAGATAGTCTATGCGTAAAGATGCTGTGGAATGTAGCCGACGAGAG